AACAGGCATAAAAATAGGGTTTAAGTATAATATTACAGTTAATTTCTAATATTTTTTGTTATAGTTTGATGTGAGTTCTCTTGCCTCTCACTGATTGGGGTGCTGGTTTAAAGTGTGTCCCCTTGCCTCTCACTGATTGGCATGCTGGTTTAAAGTGAGTGCCCTGTGAAGTGCTGGCGGCTGGGAGGTTTACTTACAACTAAATCTAGTAGAATATTATTTTTTCTAGACCTTTAAATAAATGTTTTTATATGATGTAGAATTTATTTTATATTCAATTATTTAATTAAGTGTATTTTAGAGGTTATGCAGTTGAGTGGGAGGGGGAGTAGAGGGGGAAAAGAGAAATTGTTTCCTTGATATTGACCCTCCTCCTTTGTCCTCCTAATTTTAACTCTTACATAAATATAACCTCTTCGAAAATTTGAGTTGCAAAACTCAGAAAATTTATTTGAATAGAATTTGCATGACAGCAATTTTTTAACACCTGGAAAATTAAAAATACAGCATTCTGAAGTTCCTACAGACTTTACTTGTCTCTTTTATACAGTGTGTCTCAAAAGTCATGCACATTTCGAATATTTTTTTGGAAAAATTGCTCGGACAGGTCAATTTTGTTTTTTTTGGGGCATGAATTTCGGTGAAATTCAATTTCCAAAATTGGAACCAGTGGCGGCGGGAGAAGGATAGCGTTGCTTTTTTTAAATGGCAACCACCTTTTTTTATTAGACTGGATAAAAGCTTAAGTCTTTTTGATTAATTTGGTGTGCTACATGTGTTACGGTTTCTTAAGTTTTTTTTAATTTTATTCTATAAGTTTTTGTTAATTTAACATTTGTTCTCCACTTAATATCCCCTCCATTGTTTTTTACATTCGCTCCCTTCCCTATACATGTCAAGTGCTCCATGGCTCGACAAGGACGTCTTCGAATCTATCGAGCCATTCCTCATGATCATATGGTATGGCGATCGGAAACAAACTGAAATTGGGGTTACTAATGGTCACCACATACACAGGTCTACTGTACGAAGAATCTTGCACAAATTTAGGTTTTCGAGTCATGTAAAAAATACTCAATTAGTTGTTCTTCTTGCCGTTGGTGATAATGTTCATGAAACAACACGACAGGTAGGGCAAAATATTGATCATAGTACCGTTTACTGAGTTCTTAAGAGACAAAAATACCATCCCTACAAACTTCGATTGACCCATGAATTAACAAAGGACGATTTTGATGGTCGTATGAAATTTTGTAAATTAATGCAAAATCGCTGATGAGAACTTCATTGCTAACGTCATCTTCTCCGACGAGGCTACGTTTGGTTTGAACGATATCGTAAGAAACCGAATACTTGGGCCTTATTTCATCGAAGGGAATTTGAATGGCCTAGGTTACCTTGAATTATTAGACGAACTGGATGCTGTTCTCGTAGAACTTTATCCAGGTGGAGAACCTGACGAAATAAGTCCTGAAATAAGGTATCAACATGACGGCGCTCTGCCATCGTAAGAAACCATTAAACCATCAATTTCCACATCGTTGGATTGGCAGAAGAGGGGAAATTCAGTGGACGGCAAGGTTTTCCGATTTAACACCACTTGACTTTTTCTTGTGGGGATATTTGAAAAGCAAGGTATATCGTCACAGACCGGACAACACTGAAGACCTGAAGCAACACATTCGCCATGAGGTTAGGCAAATACCATCTGAATCAATCAGGAATGTAAGAGAGAGTTTGTCGACAAGCTGGATCAATGTCGAGCTGCAGGTGGTAAGCAGTTTGAAGACCTGATAAAAAATTTATTCATCAAAAGAATTAATCAAAAAATGAGAATTTATTCATAAACATAACCACTGACTGATTCTTCTGGCGTAATGGTTTATTTTATTATTTTTTTTTATGGACAGTGAAATACCCAATAAATAAAGGAAAAATAAACTGTTATTTATCTCCCATTAAAAACAATTATTCAAGTTCGTAAACATTTTTTATATTGAAAATGACGACACCAGTAAATATTTTATTAAAGATTCTATTATGATGTACTTATAGTATTGTTGCATGGCTTTAATTTTGCCTTTTACTGACTACAAACGGATCCAGAGGAAATAAATCCGTCTGCTATGATGCTCATTCTGTTGGTTCCTTTCATTGAATTCATTGTCCCAGAAATATTTTATCCAAATGACAACCAGTAGTAAATGAATTTTATCAAATAATTTTAGAAATGCTTCAGTTTGTGAAAAAATGGATATAACAGAATGGAGGTCAGGAGTCATCAATTTAACATACCTTATCCCAATGTGGTCAGGAGTCTGGACAAATGGACTAAGTCCGAACACAGAAAATACTGATTGTGAGCTTCAAGACCAGGGTAAAGCCATGGGAAGAAACTTATGGAGCGTCCTTTGTCGAGCTTGAATAAAATTCGACTCAGGAAAGTGACGGGACTTGTAACGAGAGACTGTAACCTTAGCAAACATCTATACAAGCTAAGACTTGTAGACAGTATGGTCTGCCGAAGATGTCATTCAGCCAATGAAGCTTCTCTTCATATCCTTTACACGTGGTAGAATGACGCTCCTGGGAAAACCCTTTCTGGAACCCAAGCAGCTGGAAGAAGGAAGCTTTTGGACTTTGTAAAAAGGGCAAATCTACTTGCTGAATAGGACTGAACAGTGGAACTTGAATAGAACACACTAATATTATATTAACTACAACTACATATTAAACAGAAATTTGTTTTTTAACTTTGAAATTAAATGACAAAATTTCAAAAATAAAAAATAGGATAAAACGAGTAAATGGATTTTTTGAAATTATATATATTTTGTACATATTTATATATTTTATGTTTATTTCTTGTTTTATTTTTACTTAAGAAATGAGAGAAAAGTTAGTTTTGCAAGATGTGAGTTATATTATCCTGAAGGTAAATTTCTCAATGATTTTTTATGCATTTTTAAACATGTGCCAAGACTTATTTCGATTTTGATAAAATTTTTCGTGGTTTTATCGTAAACACAACACCAGGGTTTACACCAGTCGTTGACAAATTTAATTAAAAAAAATTACATAACAATTCTAAGCAGTAGGCCGTCTCTTTATTAGTTTGGTCGCGTAGAAGATTAAATCAAACTGTAAACCTCAGTCCAGTTTCCAATATTATATGCAAATACGTGTTTTGCGCAATTTTCGTTGTGTGTATTCGAATTTTGCTGGCGATGTATAAGGAAGGACGGCCACCCACTCCCCACAGCTGGCTAGCCATTTTTGTTGTGATATATCGCCCACGTCACACTGACCTGCTATTTTAGATATTTTTGTTGGCGTTTGGACGTTCTGTTGTTGTTACCCACTATTTAATATAAAATTCACCCACTTGGTATATGGTACGGCGTACAATATAATAAAGACTATTGTTAACCTCGGTGGACCCTAAATATAATATTCGCAGTTTTGAAAGAAAAGTAAGTCTAAATATAATTCATACTAAAGCACAAACCTGGTATTTTGAAATTGTTAGATAATGCGATCGTTCAAAGAAATATCTTGTATTCTTGCTGTTCTATTATCACATTTGACAAAGACTATTCACATAAAAAAACTATTACTAAGGTATCGATTTGTTATCACATTTTACTTGGGACTGTTTCATCTGGTGCCTCTCTTCAGTATGTAATTAACAAATAAAAAACATCAAACTCAAAGTTAGAGGGAAATAGACTGAACTCTTATGAGCTTCCTATAATAAATGTATTCGTGATTTTTGTTAAAGTTAGTAGGTAATTACTCGTATGGCCACCACTTTACTGTCATCCCATAGTCAGCACAGTCAGGGAAAGTTTTGTGTTTAGAATCGATTTAGCAGAAATGTCATCTCTTCCTGTATATCTATAAACATTTGTATAAAACACCTTCTTTCGATTATAGCGATGTGATTAGTGTTTCTGATTTCTCGGCCTACTTTTTTTTCTCGGGACTCGAGAATTCTCGACTTGGAATTCCCGGGAATTATCGAATTCTCGAGAAATTTCTAAAACTTAAAAAAGTCAGAATTTTGGTATTGCAATGCGAAATATAAATATGCTATTATACTTACCATTCATCATTAACTTTTATTATTTATTCACTATTTGTATTAATTATTTATATGTTTTTACTTCTACTAACAAAACTAAATTAAACTTTGAGTATCTTCTTCTTAAAAACCTTTAACTTGTTTTTTTATTAAACACTTTCATTGTACTTATGTTTATTTCAATGTTTTTGAATCGTAGTTTTCTTCCAATAATTATTAATAATCATTAATCACGGAGTCTTTTAATTAAACAAATAGTAAATAAGGAATTTAACTGAAGAAATCTTAAAAAAAAAACAAGCTTTAATTTAAAGATATAGAAGCGTTCTTCCTATTAATTTATCACTTATAATCACAATCTTTTAATTAACAAAACAATAATAAAATAATCAACTAAAGGAACAGGAACTAAATATTTTCAGAATCAACATTAGGTATCTGCTTATAATAAAATATCTACACAGACTTATAACAAGGTACATTAAAAAAATAAGAATCGTCAAAGTAAACTAAAGCCTTAAAAACTTAAAATAAATAAATCATGAGATAGTCGAGAAACCACTTTAACTTCTCAATTATATGCCGAGAAACGAATTGGAGGCATGAACGAAACGAACTCCAATCAAGAACTTAAGACGCGCGTGATTTTTAAATTTCTCGATTTCTCGACACTTTTTTCTCGTCTCGAGTAAGGCCAGATTTCCCGGGAATTCTCGCTTCGAGAAGTCTCGACCAGAAACCCTAGATGTGATAGAGGTTTCGTGGTTTTGTCTCTACCACCATAGGAAATACGGATTAATTAATGTACTTTAAGAATAACATGTTGCCAGGTAACCAAGTCTCTTTGTATACAGAATGTCGTAATAAGCAGTATACACTTTTCATAGAGCCCCTCTTAATTTCCTAGCTAACTCACCTTTGTTCCCTGTGACGCAGTCAATCTGATCAGCTTGCTGGAGAATCCGCGCGGCCTCTTCGGCAAGCTCCTTCTTAGACTTTTTGAGTCGCTCCTTCCTGACGGGCGAAGCCACCAGGTGACTCGCCCCGTCCCCGTTGACTACTCCACCAACACGAGCGCTCTCCCTTGGCACTGAAAAGAGAAAAGAACATTTATAAATAAGGAACAGATAAATTAAATACGTGTACGGAAGCTTAAGCAAAAAGCTTTGTGTTGCGAATTCATGCAAAATGGTAGGGGATCGTATGAAATGTCAAATTATGGCAAACATATATAGGGTGTTCTGAAAATTAGCTCAAATTTAGGGGGTGAGACTTTTTTTCATTATGAACCATGGTCGTATTAATTGTCAAAGAAGATTTTTAAAATCAAATTTTATTCATCACATTTCCAAAACACGACGTATTGTATTCAAATTTGGCGCGAGTATGTTTTTGAAAGTTTTTGACGGCTTTGTCGGTATTTTTTGAATATTTGCTAGAAGTCGCTAGCTATGGCCATTCACAATGATGCCTGCCCAATGATTAGAACTTTTTTGAGGTTAGGCTTGTTACAGTAATTTATTTTATATAGAAAACTTGTTGGGATAACTGAAAATTCACCGTTTTCAAAAGAAATGCAATTAAATGTCCCAAGTTAAACAGCTTTTCTATTTCCTAATATACAGAGTATCTAAAAACGCAAGGGCCGTACTTCAAGAATAACTTCCATAAATAAAAATAAATTTAGATCAACTAAGTATTGAGTAGCTAAAAAATAATGATAAACCTGTTTTTGAAAACCAATAACATTTTAAGGAAGCAGTATTACACTAAAGTAACTTTATCTAAATCTACTACACTTTGCGATTTTAACAAGGCTACATTGTCACGCAAAATGAAATTGGACATTATACAGTACAGTTTGTAAATAAGAGCGAAATATCTTACGGGGTGGTTGCTGAAGTTATTTTGTGAAAACAAATTTATATAAACGTAGGTATATGCTTCGTTTCCGAGAAACAGAGTGTTTAAATTTTAATTTTTTATTTATTTTTGTTAATTATTTCAGAGTTTTAAAGATATTGACTCGAAATTTGAAAAACGGTTTTGAGGGATAAATGTGCATTTTTTGGGGTGATCCGAATATTTCTACTTGCACCAGTGGCGTTCGCGCGAGTATACCACAACCTTTTTTTAATAAAAAAATCGTACGCCATTAACTTTTTCCCGTTTTGATATTTTTTTAGAAATCCGCCATCAATTCTGAATGAAATTGATCTATCTCTTCATTTTTTTTTTCGTAGGATGCCCCGTTTTTTGAGGAAACAAATAAAACATTTTATTGCAAGTTGTGTATTTTTAATTTCTGTTGATACATTATCTAGTAGGTTGCTGTCAATATTTCCAAATAAAATGCAACCATCAAATTTCGAGTCAATATCTTTAAAAATCTTTGAAATAATTAATAAAAATAAATAAAAAATTTAAATTTAAACACTTACACATCTTATATGAACTTTTTTCACAAAATAACTTCGGCAACCACCCCCTAAAATATTTCGCACTTATTTACAAACACCCTGTATAACATGCATCGTAAAATAAACCCAACCTAGAAAAAGTCGCTGAGGGAGATAATAGCTAGCGACACCTAGTGACTGTTCAAAATATAACAAATAGTCACGCTTTCAATGCCACCAAAAACTAACCTATACCAAATTTCAGTGCAATGTATTAATCTTTTTTAGAGTAAAGTTAAAATTTGATTATATATAGAAAATCATATTTGACCCTTGTATTTGATTTCATTTTCAGAAGACTGTTTCGATTTGAGGAAATTCGTTTTCAGAAGTGCAGCTCCTACGAACATCATCACATTTATAACAATCAAGTTTCAAGGAATTAGATAGACTCAAAAATATAATAATTATCGCAACTGGTAATAAATTGTATGGACTTTATTATAATTAAAGTTAACAATGAACTGAGCAGTTGTACAAAGAATTTGCTTTTATTTTTTTAAGATCCTATATGATACAAACTCTTAGTGGAACAGCACTTTTTTGTTTTTACCCATGGCCAAAATTCAAGTAAACTATTAATTAATACAATTATTTCATTTGAGTTTTGGTTCTCACAATAACTGTATTTGATACACAGTGAGTCCATTTGGTTTTCTTTTGATAACTGATTGTCACAAATGGCATGCTATTCATAATAATTAAACTATTTTGGTCGCATCAAAAATTCGTACGAATTCGTAAAACATGTCTCGGACAGTTTAGCCACACTATGTAAATACATGTTTTAGTTTGAATTTTGTACGAATTCGCATTAGATATAATTACCATCTCACATCGTACAACAAAGTTTGGAGAAGGCAAAGCAATATAAACATAAAAGACCATGAGAGATCATTAAAACTGTGTAGCGTTAATATCGAGTATTACATTATTGACTTTGTCATTATACTGACATTGATCAGGAGGAAGTAAAAACAACTATCAAAACAAAATCACCAGTATTGTAGATGTTTATTAGTTCAGCAAACAGAGCGAGGCCAATTCCGTTAGACATAACAAATTATGATGCTATCAAGAGGACCATTGTTTTAATTCAAGAAATACACTGAGAAACACATGTCGTTTTAAATATTTTTCTATTACAGAAATAACTTAAACAATTAGGCATGCAAGAAAATTGCGTAATATTTTCTTGAAATTCCCAAATTTAGGAAATACCAATTTATATGTAGTGTCACTCGTGTGATACGTTTTGTGATAATATCAACATAAAAAAATATTAATCATTATTATTAATTAATCATTTCGATGAGACCCCTGAAACTTATTATTTACAAACTAATAAACCCAATCATCAAATACACTAACATTCAAATTGTGTAACGATTCTATATTAATATACTTTTAATTTCCCATGCGTGTTATCGTCAATGCGCTATGCAGAAGCCAGTTATCTATTCTTTCACATTCCGCCGCCTTCTAGATGTTACCATTAGCGGAAGGCGATGTTTACAGTAGTAGTATAGGTAATTGCCATTTTTTTCGTGTCTCCAATATTTGCAGTAACTCGGTCTAATTGTAATTTAAGCGATGACTTTGATAACGAAATTCGCCTTGTTCAAGGAGCAATTACCAGACCGTATTTATGCTAAAATGATGTAACCGTTCATACATATATCTTTCATGACGTGCTAATAATACATCTGCATCTCATTTCGCAATTTATATCAGATTTAAGTTTTAGCCGCGTGGATATACTCAGCGTTTAACGACATTTGCTCTATCCGATATAAATTACAAGATGTCGACGTGGTGGTCTCAAGACAAGAAAATCTTCCACGATACAGTAAAAGCGAAAAAACAATCCACCAATTTAGTACACTTCATTAGATATATTTACATAATAAGAGTGAAATGTGATACCCCGTGGCTCAACTGATGAAGAGCTTCACTCACGCATCCTGGTATAGATAATTATTTCTTAAGCTTGTTCCTATACACATACAGGGTGTCCCGAAATTCATGCAACAAAATTTGATCACAGATTCTTAAGACAAATTTAGGGGACCCGTATTTTTTATTTTTGCCAAGTGGCCCCCTCTTTCGGAGTTACAGCCCCCTGAAGTCCGCCCATAAGAATAATCTTTTTTTTTATATTTCAGAACCCTATTGTACGAGAATCACTAAATTTGGTACACAGGGGTTTTATGACATGTGGAATCTGATGGTGCAACGTTTTTTGGCGGGGAACCCCCTTAAAACAATTTTTTGTGGGCACCCTTGTCTTTGGAGCCAAAAAAATTTGGTCGCATATTTAAATTTCTTAAAAATTATCAGTCCGCTAGAAAGCCATTAAATTTAGAAACTTTTTGTCTCTTTATAGTTTTTTCGTAAAAGGCAATGTTTTCGAGAAAAATTTAAAATGTGATCGAATGCATATCCTGATTCGCCATTTTCCTCAAAAACATTGCGTTTTACGAAACAAATAGCAAGTGACAAAAAAGTTTCTAAATTCAATGGCTTTCTAGCTAACTAATAATTAAAAAAAAAATCGAATTTGCGACCAAATTTTTCTAGTTCCAAAGACAAGGGGGCCCACGAAAAAGTGTCTTAAGGGGGTTTCTCGCCAAAAAGTATAGCACTGTGAGATTTCACATGTCATAAAACCCCTGTGTACTAAATTTAGTGAGTCTCGTATAACATGGTTTTGAGATATAAAAAAAACTTCTTAGGGGCAGATTTCAGGGGGCTGTAACTCCGAAAGAGGGGTCCAATTGGCAAAAAGAAAAAATACGAGTCCCCTAAATTTGTCTTAAGAATCTATGACCAAATTTTGTTGCATGAATTTCGGGACACTCGTATAACATATTAATACATTTTCTTGTAGGACTGTATGATGATATTTGTTTTTCATTTTCATCACACACAAAAAAAAATAAATAATAATAATAATAATAATAATAATAATAATAATAATAATAATAATAATAATAATAATAATAAAATTTATTTTCCCGTAAACAAATTTAACATTTGTATAGGAACAGTCATAATTTTACTAAACTTTCAATTCTAATTCTGACTAAATAACCTTCTAAAAGTCTATTTTTAAATACACATATTTTAAAAATTTCCTATCGACTTTGTTCCTCAAAGGTATATGCCATATCTCAGTCTTGAAGACACCTGAATTGGGTAAAGCATAACCGTGATCGTAAATTGCTTATCAAAAAGCATACAAATAGTATATTGTTATATTAGCATTAAAAGTCTTACTTTTGTGGCGAGCAAATTTTGTACTTGCGAGGCGAAGCGTAGCGTAGCCGAGCGGATGCAAAATTGTGAGACAAAAAAGACACTTTTCTTCCGAATAAAACATGTTATTTTTTCTCCAACTGAAATCCCTCATTTAATTATTAATTTGTGCTTTGAAATTATTCAAACCAAATTTGAATAATAAAGTAAAGTAGGTAAATAGGATATAACGATGTAGTCATGGATACTTTGACAAACATTAATCGCCACATTGCTAATTGAGTTAATTTTTGTAATTGTTTGTGGTTCAATTTGCTGAAAATTCTGTAAAAATGGAATCTAATGAAGATTTAGGTGTACCTGGAGAGGTACT